AAAGCAAGACTCACTTTTATAACAGCAAAAGTATTTTATTTTTGAATTCTTTAATCGTGATGTGACGTGCGAGAGTCGTGATCTTTATCATTATTGAAGCAAAAATCATTTTTATTGTTCTCAAGTGCGGCACAACGGGCAATTAGTCCAACGCTTTTCTTGCTTGAGTCATCAAAAAGGCAATAGGGAATTTCCTTTGGCCGTTAAAAGAAATGTACGTGAATCATGGAGCAAGTTTTTTGCTTCCATAATGAAAAGAGATTGCGTCCCGTGCACTTGGATTCAAGAAAACTAAAAGTGATTTTCACATTAGAATAGTCTAATCGATTCGCTAATGCTTTGATCATGCTGTGAAAAGTATCCGAACCCTTGGCACTATTTAATACAACATACTATCCATGATATCGGCAACGGGAGAGAAAGACCAGCGAGCCTATTTTTAGAAAAAAAAAATAGGTCTAGTTTAATACTTTTACCCAAATTTTTTAATTTGAATTTTTTTTTACTTTGAGATAACTTCACTGTAAGTTATAAAAGTTATCACAAAAGTGCAATTGAGTTCTAAAACTTTCAAATAGTGTAATAAAGACCTAAAACTTATCCAATTGGTGCAATTAAGTTATTCCGTTAACTTTGTCCTATTTGGCTAATGAAAAATGCTAACGTGGCTTTTTTATTATTTTCTCTCTTCTATGCGGTGATGGCATGGCTAAAACAACATCGTTTTGGTCTAAATATGATTTTTTAATTAAAAAAGAATTTTTTTAAATAAAAAAGAAGAAAAAGGCAAACGCAAGAAAGGGTTTGTAGCCCTCGTTGCCACCGCCGCCCCACCATCACCAAGAAGGGCCGGCGATGGTGTGGGAATGGTCAACGGGGGTCACCAGGCCCTAGCTAAGGGCTGAAAACCCCCACCCAAATTGATCGAGGGCCACAAGTGGCGGGGGTCAACAGCTAGTGGCAGCCCTTGACCAGACCTAGGTGAGGGTCGATAGCCCTCACCCAATCTGGATGAGGGTTGGCCCTAAGTTGGGCGAGAGCCTACAAGCTGTCACCTGCAGTCGGCAAGGGTAGTGAGCCCCTAGTCGGGGCTCCGCGATGGTGGGGCCATGACGGCAAGGGACGCAAGCCCTCACCTGCATTTTCCTTTCTTCTTCTTATTTTGTATTTTTTAAAATTTTTTAATATAATTAAAATAAATTTTGTATTAAAAAATGATATTTGGACCAAAACAACGTCGTTTTAGCCTTATGTTTCATATTTTAGCCATGTCATCACCACGTTGAAGGGAGAAAATAAAAAATAAAAAAGCCACGACGGCATTTTCCCTTAGTCAAGTTGGATGGAGTTAACGGAAGAACTTGATTGCACCAATTTGATAATTTTTAAAATTTAATTGCACTTTTTAAAAGTTTCATGACTCAATTGCACTTTCATGACAAGTTTTAAGATTTCCAATTCACTTATCCTTTTTACTTTTTAAAATTGAAAATAGATTAGTTATTAGAGCTTGGGTTTTAAATATAGCTTTTTTCATATGTTTATATAATAACTTACTTATGACTTTATTAAAGCATTTTAAGTGTATATAATGTATTCTCTACTATTCATTGTCTACTTTTTAACATATAGCACGGCCGGTCCGGGCCATTTCGGGCCTGAGATGCTCAGGCCCAAAGCTGCTAAGGCTGAAGGTGTGGACCAGCCTGACAAAAATAAGGGGAAGGCCTAAATCTCCACTTGGGCCTAACTGGACCTAAATATTCGAGCAATCCAATCTTGGCCGATTTGGTCTTTCAAAAAAAAAAAATTCACACCTAGAACTAAGTGTCACATGGACAAAGTGTTACAATATGGGAGCCATCTCTTGAACCTGGTAAAGGCAAAGTGCTACATGGTGGGAACCACCTCTTAAACCATGGGCCACCTCTGGAATCCTTCAAGTGCGAGCACCGTGATATATCGGTGGAATTGCCTATATGGTATGCATCATCGAATATCATCTTTGTGATTTACTTTTATTAGCATTTGTTATCCCTAGAAGTGAGGTCAGTTGCTTGCTTAACCGGTGATTTGGTTACTCAACATTGATGTCACTATCAGTGTTTGTAGGATGGAATGGTAATATCTTGAAATTTTAACACCTAGTGACATGTTGACACCCATACGTGACATTACGCGATTGTGATAATAGGAATATATGTACTTGATTTGGGACAAGATGGATTGATTTCATTGATGCACCATGTAGATATAATATTTAGTAAACATTTGGAAAGCACCTCATATTTACGTAAAGTTATGTAATGCCCAAGAAATAAGTGTATCTATGAATTGGATACTAGATAACAATTTTATTTGGTTTCTTTGATTCCTAGAAACTGGCCAACTCAGAACCATGCATGAAAATGCATTAGTCCCTTATATTTTGGTTTTAAAGTCCATGGACACTTGGATAGTTAATTGGATTTATTGACTCATTAAGGTGGCTAATCTATTTGGGTCTCCTTGTTGTGATGAAGACAAGCAAGACAAGGGAGAGAGAAGAAAAGGTAGAAAACAAGAATAGAAAGAAGGGGACGGAGGAAAGAGGGACAAACTGAGAAGAAGATTTTAGGGTTTCCATGGTTATGAAGCTAAATTTTGTCATGTTTATGCATCTGGTATGAGGAAATTGAAGAATAAAGGGGCATGAAGAGTTAGTCCATCAATTGAGGTAAGAATCAACAGTTATAGCTCGATTCAAGCTTGTTTCCATGGAGAATAAAGGTGTGGGTTGATGACTTGTAACATGAAGAACTAGATTCAATTTCTCACTTCGGAAGCTATGTTTTAATAGTGATAAGTGATTTTTAAGTATTTATACATCGATACGGGTCCAACACATTTATAGGAATAATACAAATGAAAACATTCTTGAGATCTTACATGACAAAATTTACATGCTAACACCGATAAAAATAACATGCAAAAAAAAAAAAAAGCCGATAAATCTCATGTATCCAGGTATGCCTACGCAAAACACTGGTTTTTGTAACTAATTACAAAAGAAATCAAAACTTCTAGTCTAAGGGAATGATTTTAGCTTAGAAATAGGAAATAAGTTTTGGAATATACTTCTACCTCGACTTGCAACATCAGTCAAATAATCACAACCGATGGTTGCTGCCGGTGGATGAACTTGGCTCAGCAGTGGCTAGAGCTGGGTCATGAAGGCTCAACTTCGGTCCCAAACAAAAAAATAACTTTTTAGAGATTCTTTTATTTACATATATGAGATGAAAAAGAATGCAATCTTTCTTACCTTACCAAAAAAAAAAAAAGGAATACAATCTTATGAACAATTTCATTGAAACAGACTTAATACGAAGGACAAAATCAACAATTATTGGTTTATCAACATGCATTCACAATACGACTGATCAATGTTAGGAGCAAGATTTGCAATGGAATGAATTGAAATTATCTGTACCTATGCCGTGCAAGGTTGACATTAAACGAATATAATTCGTAAAAACTTTACGAGGTACGGTCTTTTTTTTCAAGAAGGTGAAGTAAAATAAGAATCATGTGCCTTATGGTTAATTTGTTACTTCAAAGCTAGCTCAATTTTTCCTAGCAAAAAAAAAAATTTAAAATTCAAGCTAAATATTTTAGCAAATATGGTCTATGTTGTGTAGGCGAAAGAAACCCCACATCGGGTGTGTAGTGTAAGGCGGTGCATTTAATATGTTCTAATTGACCTATATCTTTAATAGCTTGAGTTTTTACGTGAAAGTGGATCCAACTAAATATGTTAATGGTTTTAAACTTGACTTTCTCTTGATGATCTTTCCAGGTTAAGGTTGCGGATTTCTGTTATGAGTCCCCAATAAGTGATATTAGTATTGATAGTTGATTGGTGGCCCATGTGTATCGGTGTCTGGTGAGTATCTCAAGAAAGAATCTAATATGTGACTCCCTAATAGAAGTGATGGATAGTGTCCCCTGGCTTCTTGCTTAACTGCTAGGCTTGGGCAATTGAGGTAAAGTCTGAAGGCATATTTTATTCCTCAGCTCCAACATCCGCCAATCTTAGTTGGGCCCACAAAGATTTAAGTTGAGATAACGTTGCATGCAAGGAATACCTAGATTAAAGGGGGAGCCGGCCCAACACAAGAGGCTCACATGTGTGTGAGAGATTTGCTAAGGTGTAAGTGTGAAGATGTTAGGTGCAAGAAGTCCATGTTACAGATGTATTGTAACGTAAATCAAGTTAGTATATCCTTATTAAGATTTGTTAACGGTTTCGGACACTTCAACTATTTCTAGGTGATCTCCCAAATGAATTTATCGATCTCGTACTACACCATCACAATAGTCAAGATTCCTAGATACTTTCGCAACACTTTCCTAAATTATAGGTTAATCATTTCATCCAAGTCATATACAAGAACGTGGTATAGATTCCCACGACTGACTCCACGAGCGTAGAACTCGTTAACCGGACTTCATTGACCGCAAATTTTGGCGTGATCGTGGGTCTAAGTTTGTTTAAACAACGTAATTTGAGACAAATGAGAATTTTTTTTAGGTAATTGTCCAAGCACACAAACCCTAGTGGGAAAGAATTTTCTAGCTATGAGTCTATGACCTTTCTAAGTACCATACTAGGCTGCTATGTATAAAATGGATTGAAATAGAATGCAAAGTTAGGCAATTTTGACCGGACACCTAAATTTTTGTGGCCAGAGCTTGTTGACACCTAGTTGATTAATTACAGATAATACTAACTTGGTCAAGTATACGGGTTAAATTCATCAATATATAAGTCTACTGACGAGTATACCATCAAGTCCAAATTATTAAATAAGTTTGGTCTCGTAATTTAATCTTTTTTCAATGAATGTATCTATCAATGTTTTCAACTATAGCCCTTATCACCCTGTTGAACGAAACGTAAGGTTATATGGTTGAGACGGCCATTGCTATGCACTAGAATCAATGGGAAGAGCTAATAGAAATATATATCATATGACGTCAATTAACTTTAGTGAATCTGAAGCTCTCGCCCCATTGTAATTGGGCATTATTTTGACATCATAGTCCATTATTGGACATACAAACTTTTCGTAATTCAATAAGGCTTCTCGCCTTCATAGTTCCCAGGAGGATCATAGTTGCAAGTCACCAAAGTACCGCCCGTCGCACATTGGGCCTTCGCACATCCGAGTCGAGCTGAGTTCCGCCACACCACTTGAGTGTAATGCCCACAGTCCTTCCCCGATGCACACGAGTTGGAGTTGTAGTCGTAGTCGGGCTTTTCCCCAACCCACATGTTCACCGTTCCTGTGCCAGTGAGATCAGGGGAAGCCCACGCGAGATTCTCCCCATAAGGTCCGCCTGAATGGACAAGCTGGGAGCAGTCGCTGGCATGCTTGTTGGCGTAATCCGTGGCATAGCCAGTCACGCCCTCATCCCAGGCAATCGGGCCCACACCAACTTTAGAGCGGGCCGCATTGTGGGCCGCAACATAGTCCTGGGGCGAGTCCTGGGCAACGGACACAGGGATCAACACTATGGTTAGAGCAACGAGGAAAATGAGAGGTAGAGGAATAAACACACGCAGACACATATTGTTAGACACCAAAATAATTGGGAAAGGAAAGATCTTTGTTGATTGATGAAGAGATGGGTAAAAGAGCTAAGATGGTATTTATAGAATGATCATGTGGAAAAATCTGGGCATGGAAAAGTCGAATGTTCATACTAGAGAGTGCCCGTCAAATTGATTGATGAACAATGACACCTTCATGCGATTATTTTCATACTCTGTACAACGCTAATTAAGGTTGTACACCGATGATGACCTTGTCTTCTTTTTTGTAACGTTTTTTTATTTTTAGCTAGAGAGTGAACCTTTCGTTGTCATGACAAATAGTGACACCATCGATTCTTTAAATGAACATTACACACATTAAAATGTAAGTTAATCTTGGCACTCTTCCCCCTTCCCCCTCCCTCCCCAGCCACACCCCACCCTACCCCCCACCTCTACTTTCGATTGTGTCTTTTGACATTTTCTACGCAATTGGTTTACAGTCCAAGTCAATTATGAGTCAAGCACCAAAAGCTGAAACATCGAGCTCAAGTAGTCAAGCTTGATGCATCCTCGATATTCCCAACTTAAGTTTATACGAGTAAGATATTTATTTTGGGTTATAGTTAGAAATTTCAAAAATAACTTCCGAAAAGATTATAAGGTGCCTTTGTTATTGAGGATAGGGATATGCTAAATGTACTAAGAATAGGCATTAAATCCTCTTTATTACATGATTCGTGAAATTTCCATTGGTCAATTAAAATGAAACCTCCAAACTTGTTTTGAGTCCTCACACATTTATTTCCCATTCAAGTTTATCTTGTGCATTATCGCATAGTTGATTAAGAAACTTTTTATGCAATTACTTGCTAGTTGCGCTCACCCCTTCTCTTACAGTAGGGAATTAAGGGGCGTCTAGTCCCAATCCCCAAGTCAATTAAGGTCAATGGACCTATCACGTCCATTCTTAGAGCTGGCAGTGGCAATTTCCAATCACATGGGCAATGTCTTACTTTCTAAAGAAAAAAAATAGTTGAGCTAAATAATAGATAAAAAGGATGAGCTCACGCCTTGCCCTACGATGGTGGGAATTAAGGGGCGTCTAGTCCCAATCCCCAAGTCAATTATGGTCAATGAACCTCGTCCCATCCATTCTCAGAGCTGGTGGTGGCAATTTCCAATCACATGGGCAATGTCTTATTTTTTAAAGAAAAAAATAGTTGAGCTAAATAATAGATAACAAGGATGAGATCACGCCTTGCCCTACGATGGAGGGAATTAAGGGGCGTCTAGTCCCATTACCCAAGTCAATTATGGTCATTGAACCTCGTCCCATCCATTCTCAGAGCTGGTGGTGGCAATTTCAAATGATTTGAACGCTAAAACATCATCTATAGAGGAAAACATATCTAAATATGACGTGATAAGATACACTTAATTAGACCTGATCATTAGACAGATTCGGTTAGAATTTCTAAGGGCCATGTCCAAACCTAATTTGGCGGATTTTGGCAAGTGCCAAGCTCACCCTCTGGAATTTATTGGCCCAATCACATGGGCTATGTCAAACTTTTTAAAGAAAAAACAACTGAGTTAAATAATAGTTAAAATGGAAATATAAATAGAAAACAATTCCATAATTTTGTGGTACTGTACTTTAAGTGTGTCATAAAATACTTTTCTTTTTCTGTTTTAAGCATCGTTTTCTCTTCAAATATTTACAAAGTTTGTATTTCAAGGTAGATATATTTAAATAACTATTCATCAATGTAAATTTTTAAATTTAGGCCCGAGCTTGAACCTCGGCAAAACCTAGTAAGTGACTCCCTAAAGCTTACCTAATACTTTGGGTATTATTTAGACTTGTTTAGGGGTTATTTAGTATTGGTTTATGGGTTGTTTGGGGGCTGAGTTAGGGGTTGAATTGTGGATTGAATGTGGCTGGTTCGTAGACTAATTTGTGGTGATTTTAGGGGTTAATTGATGGTTGTTCGTGGCTGGTATGGTTGTTGACTCGAGAGGCTAGTGTTGGTTAGTTTATGGTTTGAAACGCGAGTTTAAATGCATTGAAATGGTGGGTGCGTGTGTGGCTGAATTGTCACGGCACTTGTGAGTGAATTTCGACGCTCGAGAGTGGGTGATTTGTGTTGGTTTGTGGGCTGTTTGTGTCCGGCTTGAATACTGGAATTGTGAGCTATTGTAGTGAGTTTGTGACTTGGAATTGGGTGCTTGAAATGTGTTAGAATGAGGGTTGTGCAACGTGGCGAACTTGTGATACTGACTCCCTAAAGCTTACCTAATACTTTGGGTATTATTTAGACTTGTTTAGGGGTTATTTAGTATTGGTTTATGGGTTGTTTGGGGGGCTGAGTTAGGGGTTGAATTGTGGATTGAATGTGGCTGGTTCGTAGACTAATTTGTGGTGATTTTAGGGGTTAATTGATGGTTGTTCGTGGCTGGTATGGTTGTTGACTCGAGAGGCTAGTGTTGGTTAGTTTATGGTTTGAACGCGAGTTTAAATGCATTGAAATGGTGGGTGCGTGTGTGGCTGAATTGTCACGGCACTTGTGAGTGAATTTCGTGCTCGAGAGTGGGTGATTTGTGTTGGTTTGTGGGTTGTTTGTGTCCGGCTTGAATACTGGAATTGTGAGCTATTGTAGTGAGTTTGTGACTTGGAATTGGGTGCTTGAAATGTGTTAGAATGAGGGTTGTGCAACGTGGCGAACTTGTGATGCTTTATGAATTGAGTTTGATACTTACATGGATTTGATTGGGATGATTGGCAATTGAGTGTATTAAGGTGTGGTTTGAATATGTGATTGGCATGGAATCGATTGAAGCATATGACATGTGTGCCTGTCCGAATAGCCTGAGGCAGGATAGACCCGATGCGTGTTTACGCGGGTCATTGGACAAAGCCTGGATTGATTGGAGGGCTGAGCCTGAGGCGCGAGCGAGTGTGAGAATGGGCTGGCGCAATAGCGCGGGCTGTGAGAATGGGCCTGAGGCGCAGATGGCGTGGGCGGTGTGAAAGGACACGGGAGGTCATGAGAAAGTTAGGTTTGGACCACGCATGTTGCATAGTGTTTGATTATGGGGTGAATACGGCATGGTATGGAACGTGCCCAAGTGGTTTTACCTTATAATCGAGACACGCGCGAGTGTGGTTGTGCGATGCTTGGGAAATTTCCTTGTGTGCTCTGAATATGTGTTATGCTGGATGCATTAATGTGATTTGACTATTATGCAGAGTTGACGTGTGAATGGAGGCGAAGTATGTATGTTTGTATGAGTTCTAGTATGTCGATTGTTAGATTGCATGTTGAGACTCGTCTGGGTACGCATTGGCCTATGTGGGGTTTAGGTTGTCTACTTATTGAGATTTATCTCATCCCCCGTTGTTAAACATTTTCCTGTTTGGAGTGACGGTTAGTCGTCACGTGCGGTCTAGAGACCAGGGGTGACTTTGGGCATTTGATGCTTCGTTTCATCTTTGGATGCCCCTCTTTTGTATAGCGAAGTAGGATATCCAACCACTGTTCCCTTTTGATGTTGTGTATTTGGAATTATCGTTTTGTGCTATCCCTTTGTTATTATTTATTGTCTGGGATGTTTAAATTTCGCTTCTGCCTGCATACGACTTTGGGTGTTTCGTTTGGGGTTGGCGACGCGTCCTGAGACGTCGCGATCAATACGACCGCCGAAGGGGTGTCGCGAGTCCGTCAGGGTTCGGGGCGTGACAGACGAGGTCCTAGAATGTACGGGTCAAATCCATCCATTTTATCGGTATGCCTGCAGAATATGAATTTTGTGATCAGATCTACGCTTAATCTATATATTAACATCGATTGACACTTTTTCCATAGGTCAATGATTAAAATTGTTTAACCAAAGTTGTAGATGATATATTTTGATGTTAGTACAAATTAATAAGAATTAAAACTTGAATGTGCTAGAGCACGAAGGACGAGGACGGCAGTAAATTATTGACCTAATGTAACTTATAATGAAGTAGCTTTACAAAATTTCAGGAATAACATCACCATTAAACTTCTTGCTTCAAGGCAAAACCGATGAAGACCCACCATGTCAGGAATAATATCACAATTGATTGCATAAAATATTACATGCAATTCCTCGTGTTCAGATCACTCATATGGTGTTTTGACCCATGTCTTATCTAATTGTTAAGATTAGTCGGATATTTTATGGATTCGGAATTTGCGGTTTCCTCGCTTTATTTTTTTTAAAAAAAAGGAAAGAGATCGAACCTAAAAGATGAAATATTGGAGGCGTAGTACATGTAGAAGCAACTTAACATTTCAAATATTTTATAAAATATCAACAGACTAACTGTCTTTTTTTTTTTTGAAGGGGAAAATTCTTGGCTCGTGCGATTAAACTTGGGTCACGTGGGAATAAAGAAAAGTCAACGATGGGACGAGCAGCATCGTCGGACGAATTTCCACCGATTGATTTGTTATTCTTTTCCTACTTTATTTTGTCCTCCCTAATTGTGGAAAATAGTCCATGTGACGAGGACGACGACGACGACATTTGAAATTTCTCCACATAGGATTGTCTGTATTTCGGTATCCTGAATTTCTCTGAAACTACATCCAAAAGATATGCACAATTTAGCCATGGGCTAGGACATTTAAATTTTTTTTTTTTTTGAAATCTACGAAAGATGTGGTTTTCCTCCATCATATCGTATGACTTTATTAAACAGTGATGGACTTGTTTAGTCAATTAATACCCCATCAGCAATGTGAGGACTGACAAGCACGTGGAGACGACCACCGAACATTCCATGAAATACTGTTAAATAGTGTTTCGTGTTCATTTTTCCTATTTTGGTTCAAGATAAGTTGTTCAGAATAATCTAAAATATCATATTTCTTGCGGTCAATTTGCTTCACCGGTACCTTACTTAATTTTGCATGAAGAAAATGAGAGATATTAACATGAGGTTTTGGACGCCATTTAAGATAAGAATAATGCGGAAGAGATTGCAAAAAAGGAAATTAAATATTGTAAAAAAAGGAAAAAAGAAATTAGGGTATTGAACATATATGAAATTTATAAGGATGATCATGGTGAGGCTCGACCTCACTGGTCACTGGTCTGGCGAGGGCAATGACCTCACCGTCGCGGGCGAGGTTGGCCATGGCGAGGGCGACGACCTTGCCGTCTCTGGGTGAGCTCGACCTCGCCCAGATCTGGCAAGGTCAAGCCTCGCCATGGCCGTGGGCGAGGTCAGCTATGGCAAGGCTCGACCTCACTAGATTTGGGTGAGGTCGTGCTCACCCTCGCCCGCGACGGCAAGGTCGTTGCCCTCTCCAGCGACAGCGAGGTCGAGCCTCGCCACGGCCAACCTCGCCCACGGCCATGGCGAGCTCGACCTCGCCTAGATTTTGGTCATGGCAGGGCGACCTCGCCCACGGCGGTGAGATTGTTGCCCTCGCTAGGCTAGTGGCCGGTGAGGTTGCCTCGCCGGCCAGGGGAAGAAGGAAAGAAAAAACAACAAGAAAAAAATGAAAAAAATTCTAATTTTTTTAAAAAAAATTAAAAATTACCATGTCAACGTTGACCGGACGGCCGGCGTCCACGTCAACGCCGGTTGGCCAAAATTGGCCGTATGGACTGAATTGGCACAAATGCAAAAGGTTTAGGATTGAATTGATACAATCGCAATAGGTTTATGACTGTTTTGGTCATTTTCTCTAATTTAAGAAATGCTAGTAAAGTCTTAGTAACTGTAGTTTTGTTTATATTTCATCGAATTGTTTCAATAATTGTCAGCCAAACTTGAATGGTAGGTCCTAATAATGCTTGAGAGCATTTTGTGTAATTTTGAGAAGAAATGACGGTGGAATAGAAAGCCAAATTTCCTTCAATTGATCTTGCCCAATTTATCTCTTTCCCCCTTTCGATAAACTTCATTCTAATGTTGATTCCACACGTATTTGATGACATGGGCGCATACCACACTGCGTACCATTTCATTTAGTAAATTTGAGTAAAGTCTTAGTACATATAGTACTGTCATTCATATATCAACGTCTCACTAGTTTTCAGTTTTAAGAGAAAAACAAGAAAGAGAAATGTCAAACATACTAAGAATGTTTCATAAATCTGGTATAATAAGTGACGTGGCTTATTATTCACTTATGATCTGCCATGTTGTTTGGTATATTAATACTAATCTATAAGATAGCATTGTCCAATAGGACACGCCTTTACAAAGTTGAGGAGAGAGAAAGCAATATTAATATTGGTGCCTTGTATTCTATGAAGTCCATGGAGACGAAGACCGAAGACTAAAGACTGAACAAATGGGGGCCTTATATTCACCGTCAATTACGAGAAGATCGAGCAGTCATATCCTTGTCATTTGCTGCCGTGCGCTCCCAACACTCGTCTTCTTAAATTCACCGTCAATCACGAGAGGATCGAGTAGGAATGAAGCTTTCATATCCTTGACAAATAGTGGCTCCATCGATTCTTTATATGAACATGAGACACATAAAAAGGTAAAGTTATCTTGAAAGTCTTTTACTCTCTTTCCACAAAATTCTTTTTACATCTGTCGTGTCTTGGGTTAAAGTTTTCTCCCTTACTTTTGATTGTTTCTTTTGGCTTTTCACACGAAATTGGTTTACAGTCCAAGTCAATTATTAGTCAAGCACCAAAAGCAATCTCAAGAGGAAAAAAAGAAAAGCACCAAAAGCAGAAACATCAAGCTCAAGCAGTCAAGCAAGATGCAATCTCAAAATTTTTTTGACTTATGCTTGCATGAAAGCGAGTTCCAAAAAATATTAAATACATGAGTAAGATATTTATTTTGGGTTAAAATTAGAAATTTGATAATAACTTCCGATAATAGTATATGGTGCCTTCTTTATTGAGGTTAGAGATATGCTAAATGTACTAAGAATATGCATTAAATCCTCTTCATTAAATGATTAGTGAACTTTCCATTGGTCGATTGAATGAAACCTACAAGCTTGTTTCGAGTCCTCACACTTTTATTTCCCTATCAATTTATCTCCTAGTGTATTATCGAATCGTTTTTTTTTTTTTTTGAATTTAATGCAATTACTTGCTAGTTGAGCTCACCCCTTGCCCTAGGATGGAGGGAATAAGGGGCGAGTAGTCCCAATCCCCACGTTAATTATGGTAAAAAGACCTCGTCCCATCCATTCTAAGAGCTAGTAGCTGCAATTACATATGACGTGAACACTTTATAAGATAAAACATCAAATATTGGGGAAAACATATCTGAATTTGACGTGATCAACCCACCTATGGATAGCTCAGTTGGTTAGGGTGTACTTAGGATTGTGTGGTTAGGCGCACTGGTCTCAGGTTCAATTCCCCAGCTGAGCACTTGTGATTTAAGTAGGGGGCCATGGCGGTGGGTTACTGTGCTAGTCTCTCCCAAGGAATAGTCGAAGTGCGCGCAAGCTGGCCCAGACACCTCGGTTACAAAAAATATATATATATATATATATATGACATAATCAAATACACTTAATCATACCTGATCACTAAATATGTTCGATTCAAACTTTTTGGGGCCATGTCCAAACCCAACTGGCGGGTTTTGGCAAGTGCCAAGCTCACCCACCGGATTTATTATTTTAAGAAAAAAATATTCGAGCTGAATAATAGATAAAATGGAAATATTAATAGAAAATAATTCCACAATTTTGTAGTATTTTACTTTAAATGCGCCATAAGATGAATTTCGTTTTCCGTTTTAAGCCTCGTTTTCTCTTCCAGTATTTACAAAGTTTGTATTTCATGATAGATAAACTAAAATAAATATTTTATCAAAGTAAATTTAATAAATTAATGGGCAGACTAGGGTAAGCCTCAAAGCCCTTGGCCCAGCCCACTCAGTGACAAGGCCTTAGAATGTATTACTCGACCCTGCCAACGAGTGCAAAATTTTCAATCAAACCCGTTCATTTTATCGATATGCCTACGAGTCGTCAAACTCATAATCAGGTCTACACTTAATCTAACATTTACATCAATTGACAGTTTTTTTGTAGGTCCTTAAAATTTTAAACAAAAGTTATACATGATGTGTTTCGATATTGATACAAATTAATAAGAATGGAAACTTTAGTGTGCCAGCCCAATCCCCTTGCCGTGATGCCACATTTCCGCAAAGCACAAAAATAGATGTGCTAGATCTAATAAGAAATTTTACTAGAACTTGTTTACTAAGTTATGTGGCTATTGAATCATGTACCGAACAATTGTAGTAAAAACGTCTAGTAAGATTTGTTAGCACATGTAGCATTACTCCATTTATGGGGATAAGTTATTATCAAACCCGCTTTAACCGTGTAATTGATTATTTTGATGTTACTATATATTTCTGGGTGCTTCTCCATCTGTGGGGATAAGTTTACATTTTCAACTTCGCTTCAGAATGAGAGTATATAAGCATATTGCCATATTGAATATTCAATCACTTGTGCTCTCATCTTATTTCCCCATTTCACTTTTTTTTTTTTCCTTTTTATCCTTTCTTTCCCTTTTTTTTTTACCCTCCTCTACCTCCTCCTTCACCGAGAAGCCCACCATCGACCGCTTCCCCACCCGCCCGTGTAGACGCGCAGTGGCTGGGCATCGCCGCCGCCACTTTCGCCGTCATCCATCGTTTGTGTGGCGTCTCTCTCTCTCTCCACCTAAAGGAGTGTTGTAAATGGGGGTTTTAGGATTTGAAAGACATATAGGCTATGTTTGTTTCACGACAAGTGAATAATTTGAAAAATGTTTTTTCAAAACGATCGCTTGTATTACTTGAAATAATTAGTCAATGAAAAATATTTTTGTTACCGATAATAATTTATATCTAAATATTTTCGTATATGATGAAAATACGTTTTGTTCATTTATTTTTGTATGCAATACAAGCGATCATTTTCAGAAAAATGTTTTATGAATCATTCATTTTTCGCGAAATAAACGAAACCGTTATGTCATTCAACTTTATTTTTTGTGAATTTTCTCAATCTCTTCATGTGGACGTCTGTCTCTAAAACACGTAAATCCCGTATATTTTGTTTATTATTTTCTATCAGGGTCTTACCAACAAGTTCTTGAGACAGTTGTTAAATCATACTTAGAAAATGATGTTAATTCTAATGCACTGATTATATACAACGAGAGAAAGACAATACTATTGAAGGAACATGCTTTTCTCATTGGAGTGGGGGCATAATCCATTAATATTCAACTTCAACTAGGAGAACACCTAGCTAGCTATAGCTAGTAAATGTCTCTAGTACACATTAACTTTATGTCACAAATGCAAATGAAAAGTACGATCATTAGTAGTAAATTAATAGGGACGTTCACCTTCGTAATTCCCCGGGGGATCATAATTACAAGTCACGAACCACCACCCATTGCTACACTTAACCCTAGCACACCCAAGATGAATCGAGCTCCTCCACACAACCTGTGTGTAATGCAAGCACTCGCCACCGACACAAGCATTGGAGCGATGGTCGTAGTTGGCCCTCTCACTCACCCACATCTTCACAGAATCTTCACCGCTCAGCTCGCCATAGCCCTCTGCCAGGTTCTCACCATAAGGGCCCATCGAGTGCTCCATGGCGCAGCCACTGGCGGCCCGCTTGTTGGCATATCTTTGGGCATAGGCAGCAACGGTGTCGTTCCACGCTAGCGGGGCCACCCCTACCTGGGCACGGGCTGCATTGTGCGCGTCGACAAAGTCCTGGTGGCTGCTTTGGGCTAATGAGGTTTCAGCAATGGCCAAGAGGAAGGTGAGGGATATAATTGCTAGTGAGGGCTTAACAAAAGAAGCCATAACCAGCCAATTTGAAGGGTTTTGAGAGTGTTTGTGATGATGATGACGAGCACTAATAGGGTGAAGTATTTATAGGCAAAAAATGAGAGGGTTTCACTTAACAACTTTTGCTTGTATTGAAAGGAAATGAAATATAAAAAATATATATAATCAACTGTATGCAACTGTTGGGAGATTCGAAGTCATGTAAAACTATTGCAGAAATTATCATATTGACTCTCATATTGCTTTCATCCTGAAAAGAGAATACGAATATCGGTGACATAACTGATATAGACTTGTAGTTTACTTTATGGTGATTGAAAACCTCGATATCCGCAATCATCTCTCCGGTGAATTAGGCCTTGACAGGGGATGCATGTCTTTTGTGCTTGTGGACCATCTTCTATTTTCCCAAAGAAAGTAATATTGTCCATTTGAAAACATCTTGAATTACTATAAGTTCAATCGCTTCGCTTGAATGCGAATCGCAATTCATCCACATCATTATTATATACCGGTGTTAAGGTAATTATGCATTGAAAGAAAATGAGTAAGTTTATATATGAAATAGGTGAGTATAAGATAAAAGAAAGCAAAGGTAATAAGGAAGTCTAAATCTATGAGGAGATAAAGACACCGGATGGTTATTTATGAAATGGGTGGGTATGAGACAAAGAAAGGAATGGTAATTTAGGGGATCTAAAAGGGAGACAAAGGGTGTATTGACTTATGTACGTAGATATAGATAGATGTGTATGTGTCGGGTAAAAGAAATACATAGATGTATATGGCTTTTTTTTTAATAAAAAAATGATTGAGAGGCACGACCATAATCGGCCGACTTAGAAAAACTCAACCCACCATTATGGGCCCCCATGTAAATCTGAGTTCTCCAAGATAGGAATCAAACCCATAATCATCGGTTCCACAGCTGAAAGCATAGTAACGCTATTGTCAATTGATTAATCCTAGGGTGGGTAACATGGTATGCATTATCATATGGTCATAAGTTTCAGCTGATAATCAGCGCTTCTAACGGTGAATTCACATGTGAGGGGTTTCGCTATCATGGAATACGGTGCCATGCTTGAACGAAACCATGAGGCAGTCCTTCACGGAAAAAAAAAATCATTATACAATGAAGCACTAACCACTATTAAAGAAAACGATAATTTATAAGCAGCCTTAGTTATTGTACGAGTCTTCATATAGATAATAACTTAAATTAAAAATTAATGTTCACGCTGTAATTAAAGCCGCTCTTGAAAAGTTTTTCTATTTGATGCCTTTCTTAGTTCATGGTTCGTTATTATAGTGTCCTATTTGTAGAGTAACCACATCAATCAATCCCGAATTAGGTGGTTAAACTCTACTGTGGTACGATACTGTAGGAGAGGTCCTAAAGTAGGAGCCGAAATTACTAAGGACTTATTGAGAAGTAGCTTTATGTTATTGAAAAAAAAATTAGCTTTTTGTGTCCTAAAGTAGGAGCCGAGATTTGCTCAACATGTATTCCACTTGCTTTATGGGCACAACCGACGAAGACCCACCATTTCAGGAAGAATATTACAATTTATTGCATAAAAGATTACGTGAAATTCCTCGTCTTGGCTTAGTGGCTAAACAATAGACATGAGCAACGTTCATTGAACGTGTGGATTAAAAGCAAGACATTGGTTCGGCTCCGCATGTTACTAGTGCAAATAATTTCATGTTTGGGTTACCCATATGGTATTTTGATCTATGTCTTACCAGATTGTTGAGATTAGTCGGATATTTCATGGAGTCAAAATTTGCGATTTTCTCGCTATATTTAAAAAAAAAAAAAAAGGAAAGAACAAGCATACGCAATATAACCTAAAAGATGAAAAAGTGGACGAGTGGGATGCGTAGATTCTATGCATGGGACCTCAATTTGTCTGTTTGCAAGATTGCCGGAGATCAGAAGCAACTTAACATTTCAAATCATGTTATAAAATCCCAACGGCATAACTGTCCTATTAAAAAACTATAAGGGAAAATTCTTGGCTCGAGCCAATCAAATTCAGGAGTTCAAAAGTGTCCAGAAAAAAAAATTGTTAAAGACAAGAAACGGTCCAAACAACAAACTAGGGTTTCGTGGGAATTAAGGAAAGTCAACACTTTCTACGAGCTTGGAGGAATGGAGGAGAGCCGCGATGCGAAGGAGCGGCATCACCGGACGAATTTCCGCGGTTTGATTTGTTGTCTTTTTCTCTTCTATTCTTTTCCTTCTTTGATTTGTCCTCCTTGATTGTGGAAAATAGTCGATGTGATGAACGTGATGATAGTGACAATGATATTATCTCCCACCCAAAAATATTCAGTAAATTCGTCAAAAAAATTATGTACTGAATTGAATTTAACGAGTCCTACGTGGGACCTATGTATATGGGCCCTGTTATTTTTAAATTAGACGGTTCAATTTAGTACATGTACTACTACGATTCGTTTATTAGTTAATCCCCCAACAATTTTCTCTTATGCTACAGCTTATATCATTTATCTCCACTTCAATTTTAGGGAAAATTATTGGAACCCTCTAAATTTTGGAAGTAATGTGCATTTTGTTATGAACTTTTACTCGCCCCTCCGACACTTTCACTTTGTTATTGTCGGCTTTTGATAATATACACCGATTGAAAGTTTGGGAACAAGCACATGCCTTCTTTTCCCCAATGTTTGGGGACATGGTGAGGATGCAATTGATCGAATATTACGTGGGATAGTTAGATGTGTATTAGCTCTCTCCTCAATTGAGAGGGTTTATTTTAAGCGTGATCGATTCTCACTTCTAGACAAGGAAGATTTTACATGCATCGAGCGTGTGAACCCAAATGTTTCTAGATTGTCTGATGTAGTGAGGCTCACCTTCTTTATATATAGGATCCACCAGATTCAATGGTCCATATGAATCCAGGGTGCGTGCATCCAATTCACCCAATAATTTCTTCTTCAAGAAAAAAAAATACTTTCAACGCTTCTCTAATTGATTCATCGACCTGTGCCGGTTTCGTATTTTGCGCTTGGTTGTTTATTTTCCGAAATACAAAATTTCACTTAGAAACTACTTGCATGTATTTTTTTTTTCGTTTGGCAGTGAGTATTGATTTATTCACCTGTCTATTGTTCCTCTTCACAAGGATAGAGAAAGATAAGGCAGAGGTTCATACTAAATGTCAAAGAATTCGTTCATAAGAGGAAAAAGAAGATCAAAATAGTTAGGTTTGTCCAAATTGATCATTTGCCGAACACACTACTAAAATGGATTCTCAAGTCAAGCACTCTATATATCAATGAAATTATCTAAGACTATGGCATTATAAAGAATACAAAGAATATAATAGCTTATGATATCCTAAGCTGGAAAATCAATGAGAAAAGTTTAAAATTAAATTGGCCGCCGTACAGTAAATTTATGACTTTTTAGATAATTTTTCAAAACTTATTATGAAGTAGCTTTACGTCGTTGCAAAAAAAAAAAAGAATTGGGTTTTAGTGTCCTAAAGTAGGAGTCGAATTTTTCTTTTTGGTCGAAAAGGAGCCGAAATTTGCTCAACATGTATTCCACCTGCTTTATGGGCACAACCGACGAAGACCCACCATTTCAGGAAGAATATTACAATTTATTGCATAGAAGATTACATGCAATTCGTCGTCTTGGCTTAGTGGCTAAACAATAGACATGAACTATGCTCATTGAACGTGTGAATTAAAAGCAAGACATTAGTTCGGCTCCGCATGTTACTAGTGCAAATAATTTCATGTTTGGGTTATCCATAGTGTTTGGATCCGTGTCTTACGTTATTGTTGAGATTAGTTTAATATAAAATGGAGTCGGAATTCGCAGTTTCCTAGCTAAATTTAGAAAAAAAAAAAAAAGGAAAGAAAAAGTACATGCAATAGAACCTACAAGATGAAATATAGGAGGCGTAGGACACGTAGATTCTATGCATGGGACCTCAATTTGTCTGTTTGCAAGATTGCCGGAGATCAGAAGCAACTTAACATTTCAAATCACGTTACAAAATCCCAACGGCATAACTGTCCCGTTAAAAAATTGTAAGGGAAAATTCTTGGCTCGGGCCAATCAGACTCAGCAGTTCAAAAGGGTCCAGAAAAATTAAATAATTGTTAATGACGAGAAACGGTCTGAACAGGCAACTTGGGTCTCGTGGGAATTACGAAAAGTCAATCAGACTCAGCAGTTCAAAATGGAGAAATGTAATTTTTTTTTTCATTTAGCAGTGAGTATTTAGTTTAATTTACCTGTCTTATTGTTCCTCTTCAAAAGGATGGAGAAAGACAAGGCAGAGGTACATACAAAATGTCAAAGAATACGTTCATAAGAGGAAAAAGAAGATCAATAGTTAGTTTTGTCCAAATTGATCATTTGTGGAACCCACTATTAAAATGGATTCTCAATTCAGGCACTCTATATATCAATGAAATTATCTAAGACTATGACATTATAAAGAATACAAAGAATATAATAGTTTATGATATCCTTAGCTGGAAAATCAATATGAAAAGTTTAGGATTAAATTGGCAAACTTGAAAAATTGAGGATTAAATTAGTCGCCGTACAATAAATTTAGGACTTTTTAGATAATTTTTTAGAAATTATTATGAAGTAGCTTTATGTTATTGCAAAAACAAAAATCGTCTTTGAGCGTCCTAAAGTAGGAGCCGAAATTTGCTCAACATGAATTCCGCTTGCTTTATAGGCACAATCGACGAAGACCCACCATTTCAGGAATAATATTACAATTTATTGCATAAAAGATTACATGCAATTCCTCGTCTTGGCTTAGTGGCAAAACAATAGACATGAATGACGTTCATTGAACATGTGGATTAAAAGCAAGATATTAGTTCGGCTCCACATGTTACGAGTGCAAATAATCTCATGTTTAGGTTACCTATATGGTGTTTTGATCCGTGTTTTACCTGATTGTTGAAATTAGTTGGATGTTTCATGGAATCAAAATTTGCGGTTTTCTCGCTATATTAAAAAAAAAAGGAAAGAAAAAGCATACGCAATAGAACCTAAAAGA